GGAGACTTTACTGTCTCCACTGCGCTCAGGCATTTATTTCATTTGCTTGTTCTCAGAAGATCCTAAATTGTCATTGTACTACACCATACCCTGAGTGTTTCATGCTGCAGTAGTAGTAAAATGGTTAGTAAGATCACTTATTTCTTTTTACACCAGGTGGAGCTGTTTCTTCCCACCTCGCAGTAGCTAAAGCAGAGTCCTGTTTCTCCAATGGCAATAGCTGCCAAGCCGACTTTACCCTCAGCTTGTTCGGAACCCAGGCTTAAGTGCACCTATATGGTGTAACTGTAAATGCATTTCTGTGCCCAGCAGCCCAGTAAAAGTACTAGTGTTTGTAAAAGGCCCCTTGCCTTTAGCTAACAGTGCAAGGCCCCGTGGGCTTGTTACCAACTTGTTATGAGAACTTGCGGTGTGAACCAGAGCTTGATACCAGCTGCCTCTTGTTATGAAGTGCAGTTTACGCGTGGGCTGTAAAAAAGGCCTTGAAAATGTGGGCACAAGTTAAAAGCAGAGGTCACAGCACCAAAAACAACTCGCTGATGATTAGTGATTGGTCTTTGACAAAGCACAACCTTGAGAGCTGGGAACAGACTGCTTTTGTTTTAAGAAAGGGAAGAGCACTGAAGCAAACTTAAAAAAGCAGCCCAACACCTGCAGTAGCCTGGGAAAGGAATGCCCCCCCTTTGCACAGCAGCATTGTCCGAGGGTGGAGGTGGAGGGCTGGGAATGGTGTGGAGATTGCACGGCCGTACAAAAGGGTGAGATCCCAAATCTGTAGGAGGATGCAGAAAGCAGGCACCTGCTTCAGCTCTGGCTCCCTGCATGCAGAGTTCCTGCACCGAGACCACCGAGGACTGGAGCCATCAGTGCTGAGGAGGAGGTATCTGCTCTGTGGTGCTGTATACTCCAGCTAAGGTGGGATGTAGCTGGTAAGGACTGACTGCTTTGAATCCCTGCTAACAGTTGATAATACGTAAAAATTAATACATAGTGTTTGAATCCCTGCTAACAGTTGATAATATGTAAAAATTAATACGTAGTGGTTAGCAAGGTGTAATCCAGCTGGCACAACTGGATTAATGAATGTCAAGTGTAGTAAATTTTGCTGTGAAGTTTAAGATTAGCCTAATTTATTGGTCTACTGGCATCCTAGTGATCTCTTGATTCCCTGATCCAAATCAACAATGCAGAAGAAAATGCAGAAGAAAATGACTTCTCATTCTTACCTTGTGCTCTACACACTCCTGCTTCTTCAGAAGCCACATGACATGAGGAAATACCTGGGAAGCTGTTCTGCAGCATTTACACAGATGTCACTTGGGCAGAAAGGTTGCAGCAGTTCAGAGTGCTTTTCTGTCTTGTTTATCAAGTGTTTCCTCGGGCACTTCTTTTTTCTTTGCTTATTATTTGACCAAGCTACACCTTGGGGTGAAGTAACTGAATACCTGGAATGCACCAGGAAGGTGAAAGAACTTACTCTTACCCTGATTCAATTTATTAATGTCAGCTCAGAGTTTTTCCTCCAAAATTCTCATTCTGAAACTATTTTCTGATTTTGTCATAGGGAGTTGTTACTGGGTTTTACCGGAAATTCTTTTTGTTCCTTGCTCCTAGCTCAGAAATTTCATACTACAGTACTTGGGTATGTACACACATTAATAGTGTTTAGATTGTTTGGGTTTCATGTGCCTAATTCTACTTTTGGCATTGTTTTCCCCCTTTATGCTTGTATGGCTTCCTTATAACTTTTTAACAGCTATTTAAATGATTTCTACCTTGGGACAAGGCCTCAAAGTTATAAAATAATAAAAATATGGTGCAGGTCAAAGCTGTGCCCAATTTACCTATTCACACGGATAAATTTCAGCCTGAGATTACTGAAAGGTATAACTTAGTACATAAAATAAAAATCTAGGCAAAATGTGAACTCTGATCTTGTTGGATGCAAGGCCTATTTGTTCTGCATTTAATTATGACAATTTAAAACTGATTCTGTTATTAGATCCTGCTTTGTTTTCATTTCCAGGCAAGATAATGAATCTATTTAAATCAATATTGAATGTCTAATCACTTAGGAAATTCCTGTGTTACGTGAGACCAGGAGAAATATGATTCAAGGACCAGAGAGAGCATAGACCCTCTTCTTCCTATACATACATGTATTGCCCAGAACGCGCTATTGTCTAAAAAGGTACAGCTCCTGTGAGGCACAGCACGTTCAGTGTGATGTCCCTCCACAACGCGCTTCACCGCCTGGTGTGACTGGGGAGGTACGTGAGGGTCTTTTCCCAATGGCATTTCTCTCTTGAAGTGCATCTCTTGAATTATTACGCTACGTGGACTTTAAAGCTTCCCTACTTTTATCTGGCAGTAACCGAAGGAAAGAGGTGTAACTGGTTAAGGCTGAGTATATTCGGATACCCCTGCAAGGGATGGGGTAAGCATCCGAAATTCTCAGCGCCTCTCGCGTCCCGTGTCCTGCCTCGGGAGCTGCCAGAACACCCTTTTTCGTTACTCTGAGCGGTTCGGTGACCCGAGGGGCCAGGAGCGACGGTGAAGGGCAGAGGCAGCCCCGCGGGGGCTCCTGAGGCGGACCCCAGGCCTGCGCCACCCGCCCTGGGGAGGCCCGCCCGGGCCCTGTCAGCCGAGCGTAATTCCCCTCCCGCAGGCCGCTCTGCCGCCCGGAGGCCGCCGGGGCAGAGGAGGGCCGGGCCCCGGACCGTCCCCGTCACCTGTCTCCCCGGCCGCAGCCCCGAGGGGCGGGCGCGACC